AGCCCCGCGCTGTCTCGTGCCCCCCGCCGCACGGGCCGCTGTGCCGGCGGCTCCCGCGCCGGTGCCAGCCCCGCTCCAGGCTGCGCCGGGCACCGCGGCGCCCGATCCCCCCGGCCGGGGCCGAGCGCCGGCACCGCGAGGGGGCCGGGGGGAACCCGCCGACCTCCCGCCCGCGGCTTCCCGGCAGGAGCGGCGCCCGAAAGCGGCGCTTCCTGGCAGCACCGGCGCCGCCGCTTTGACTAATGCGGCTGAGTCAGCCCTGCCCCCCCGGGGGGCCGATTCCCACCGGCGCCGGCGCCGCGGGGGTCCCCGGGCGCCCCGGGCCCGTGCCGGATGTGAGGGCGGCCGCCGGGCCGGGCCGCGGCRCCAAAAGTGGGTCGCGTGTGTGGAAAAAGCCGACGAAGCGGCTTTGTGTCCGGGAGGAAGGGGTGGGAGCGGGCGGCAGGCGCGCCCACGCGCCCGGGGTCCCGCGGCACCCAAGGGTCCCAGGGCGCGGGAGGGTCCCGGGACACCCAAGGGTCTCGGGGCGCACGGGGCGGCGCAGGGGGTCCTGAGGTGGGATCCCAGTGCAGGGCTGCTGGCAGGAAGGGCTCATGGGGACAGCTGGGCATGGGGACACCAAGGGGGCCCCGGCGTCCAGGGGACACCAAGGGCTCTTGTCTGTCCCCCCAGCTGCCACGAGTGCCGGGGGGACACGAGAGTCCGTCGAGGACACGTGAGCCCACGGGTGACACGGAGTCCCGTGGGGACGTGGGAGCCCTTGGGATCGTGTTAGGGACACGGAACCCCATAGGGGACACGTGAGCCCCTGAGGACATGTGGGCCTATAGGTGACCATGGGGGGACCCGTGAATCCCTGGGGCGCAGGTGGGAACGTGGTGGCACACAGAATCCCACAGGGGCCCCGTGGGCGCTCGGAGGTGACACGTCAGCTGCTGGCCACATGACTGGGTGACGCGCGTGGTTCTATAGGGGACACAGCAGCCCATAGGTGACGTGTGGCCCCATAGGGGACCCAGGTACCACAGGTGACGTGAGCCTGTGGGTGACACAAAGGGAGCCCCGGGGGGACATGTGTGATGCTATAGGGGACCTAGGAGCCC